TATATATATATATATATATACACAATAATCCTTGGAGCTTACAATCTAGGAGGGAGGGGATAGTGGTACAGGAAGAAAAGCTGTGGGGGATGGAGTGGTAGGAAGAGTGGAGTGGAGGAGGTCGGCAATTAGCAGGGGGTGGGGTAGGCTTCCCTGAAGAGGTGGGTTTTGAGGGTGCGCCTTAAGTAGAGGAGAGTAGGTGATAGCCTGATGGATTGGGGTAGGGAGTTCCAGAGGATGGGTGATGCCCTGGAGAAGTCCTGGAGGCGGGCATGGGAGGAGGAGACCAGGGAACTAGAGAGAAGGAGGTCTTGTGAGGAGCGGAGAGTGCGTTTTGGGTGGTATTTGGATATTAGGTCTGTGATGTAGTTTGGGGCAGTATGATGGACAGCTTTGTACGTCAGTGTTAGGATTCTGAATTTGATCCGTTGGGCAATCGGAAGCCAGTGGAGGGATTGGCAGGGGGGAAGTGGTGGAAACGGAGCGTTTGGTGAGGTGGATGAGTCTGGCTGCCGTATTCAGGATCGACTGAAGCGGGGATAGCCTGTGAGGAGGGAGTTGCAGTAATCAAGTTGTGATATGATGAGGGAGTGGATGAGCTACTTAGCAGAGTTTTTGGGGTTAGGAATGTGGGTATTTTGGCGATGTTGCGGAGGTGGAGTCTGCATGAGTTTGTTAGTGATTGGACTTGGGGCTGGAAGGATAGATTGGAGTCAACAGTGACACCAAGTACTCTGGCCTGCGGGGCAGGCCTGATGGTGGCATTGTTGGACGTGATGGAGAAGTCAGTAGGGGGTGGTGTGCAGGCTGGGGGGAAGACTAGGAGCTCGGTTTTGGAGAGGTTCAGTTTAAGGAAGTGGAGCGACATCCAATCGGATATGTCGTTCAGTAGGCTTGTTTTCGGGCGGAGACTGAGGGGGTGAGGCGAGGGGTCGAGAGATAGATACAAATGCTTCTCTACAGTGAAGGTCTGTTACATGGATGAAAGGAATCCCAGTGACAATATTTGCACTGGAGACATTGAAGTGTTGTATACATGTTTGTTCTTCTGAGAGGAAGAACTTAAAAGAGATGCATGGCTTTTAAAAAAACAACAACAATATATTCACCTAGGTGAATATATCTGTCTCCCGCTGACTCTGTAATGAGAACTGAGCGATCAAACACTGCTGATCACTCAGTTCTTCCCTTCTCTCTGAGCAGAGAACTGTGACTGTCAGTCAGCGGTTCTTTGCTCTCCCCTCCAGCGCTCACTGGATTGCTGGGCTGTGCAGGGGGCGAGAGGGACTGGCTTAGGCTTTGAGTGGATTTCTGAGAGGCTGAGACAGATGCTGGTCTAGGCTTCTGGGTGGATCCCGACCATGATCATGATCTTTTCAGAGCCTGGACCGGCTCTCTGACTACATCCGACAGCTGGCTTCAGCCTGCTTTTGGCCAAAAACAGGTCACAGGAGTGCAGAACGAACTGCACTCTTGTGATCCATAAGAGAAGTAAGAAGTATAGCCAAAAAAGCTTTGGCTATACTTTTGCTGTAAAGGAAAACTACAGTTTTTAATTATGGACTTGTTTTTAGTTATTACTATGCTGGAAGTAGAACCTACATCTGTAATAATGCTGCTTCCCTGTACATACATATTTACAAATTATACACCAAAACCATCAGATCTTTATTACTTCTAAGTTCATGCAGTGCACACTCTGGCAGTCCAGCTCCATCTTTGTTCAGGCATCGTCCAGCGTCGACGTCTACTGCTGGACTTGGATGCTGGCACACAGATAACAGAGTAATGTCAGTCCTGCTATCTCTGCATTTCTTAGTTTTGTTAACAAATGTCCCACACAAACCGGCTCCCTATTCCTGCTTAATACCTAATGAACTACTACCGAGTTACAATGCCACAGTGTCACGTACCTGATTGGAGACTGAAATGATGAGGTTGGCCTCACTTGTGTCACTAGCCCTGAAGTGGAACAGAGGGTGTCTAGGGACCAGGGGGACAAGAGCGCCAGCAGATGTTGTTTGCAGCTGTTGCAGCTGGAGACTTTGGAAGACTGATGAACCTCCGATTCAGGAACAGTAGTGATATGGTATGGTATACCTACCTACTGGTATGGCAGGTCGCCAGGTGTGCACCAGAGTAAGACAGGAAACTGGGATGGGAGACAGGAGCAATGTCATAGGAATAGCCGGTGTCATCAACGGGCGGACAGTGAGGTACCAAATCATAACCAAGCCAAAGTCAGGAGCAGAGCCGAGGTCAAGAACAAGTATCAAGCAGGAGAGTAATCAAAGTCAGGTCAGGAACAAGCCGGGTCAACAACAAGGGAATCACACAAGATCGAGCAGGAAGCGGGGAACAGCTGAAGACCAGTCAGCACTTAGCATAGGCCGAGGAACCCTTTAAATAGTCCGTCTGGCGCCAATCTTCGCCGTGCGTGTGCACGGTCGTGCATTTCTGTGCGCATGCGCACGACCGATCACTCTTCTCCGGACATTTCTATGTGCATGCGCATTTCTAGTCGCCAATCGTCTCACCGGGATTCCCTTACACACAGTCTGATCATTGAGAGAGAGGAGATTGAGACAATGTTTCCTCCTGCCTGCAGCAGAGTGATAGTATTCCAGTATAGGTACAGTCATTGACTAGGATTTAAAGACTGCCTTTAAATGATGATAGTGCGCTTGATCCAGCATAGCCTGTATATCATAGTTTTCGACAATGGTGGACTATGCCTGCATGATGTGTGTCCATACTGCTTTCTGTAGTTTGAATTAAGGGTGCATGGGGCAGGGTGACAATGTAGGAAACATTTACAGACAGTTGTCTCCCTGTTACAGGCAGTGACTTAAAAACATTTCAAAAGTAATTTTCAATGATTGTAAATATGCAGCTTTCATTGAAATGATATCATATTAACTTGCAATGAACAACCTTTTTAACACATTAAAGTGACACTAAACAATATTGCTGTTCTCCATAAATATTACATACTTTGCCACTACTTGATGGTCCTGTAATCTATTTTTCATGAAATTGCATCTTAGGCCCCTTTCACACAAGTGGTCCGATAGGGTCTGTCCGTCCGTTTTTCAGGCAGACCCAATCAAACCCTATATTCTCCTCCTCTCTGGAGCGGCAGTTGTAAACGGACTTGTGTCCATTCACACCTGCCTACCTCCTATCCGGTCCACCAAAAACAAACGGAAGGGCATCCATTCCACTCCATCTGGATGGATTCGATTGGAGGGCAGTAGGGTGTAAATGGACAGCTGGTCCGTTTACATCTGACTGCACATAGATAAGAGTGGGCTTTGTCCGTGTCCGCTCTGCATAAGTGGAGTGGACACAAACTTGTCTTCCACCCGCTCCATTCTGCTCAGCAGGGGATCAGCGGAGAGATCCCCTGCTGAGCTAAACGTATCTGCCCCATGTGAAAGGGGCCATGCTATTTTTTCTCCCTCCTTGTAATGTCCTCCCTGAGCTCTAGAACCTTTTCTTTTCACCCTCATTTCCATTTGTTTGGAATGAGCAGAGGATGTTAGTTGTGGTCATGTGTACTTCTCTATGCACACTAATAATCTAATAGTCCCTAGTCCATCTCAGGAGCGAGCAAGAGAGATTAGCTATAATCCTACATAGAGTGGGACCATGAAGAATGAATGTAGCCACCCTTTAACAGCAAGCCAGATCACAGTGATAAATAGAATCAGTTACCAAACTTGTATTTTCAAAAGCAATCTCAAGATTGTCTATAGAATAAGCAGAAATCAGGACAGGCAACCCAATGTTTGGGGCCATGCACCTGCACAGATGTCGCATTGGGTGCAGCAGCTGTGTCTGTGCATCCCAATTGACAGCTGTGGGACTGCCTGCACGAAGGTGCACGCAACAACTGTGCATCCCTGTGTGGCTATATATGGCCCTGCATGGGGCATGGATTGAAACACCCTATATGAATGAGGCCTGTGTGCAGAGCTGTGTTGTTCATACAGCCACCAATACAAGTGAATGGCTGTATGCAGCCATGTTCAGGCAGACACCAGTGCCTTTGCATCAGCATATAACTTGGTATGCTTGTACAGTGCTACTTCCCAGATGCACCACTTTTGCATTCATGCTCAGATATGTTGATGCAGAAGCCATCAACATTTACCCAAGCATGGCCACATGCAGCCATTCACTTGTATTGTCAGCTGTACATGGCTGGTAAGCCTCTGTATGCATGAGGCCTAAAACTGAAACATTTGTAAAACTGCAAGACCAAAAGGGACAGGATGAAAAATTTTGCTAAGTGAGGGCCTAGTGGCAGCATGTGGGTTTGAATCACCAAAAAAGGGCATGAAAGTTTTCTTTGGAGAAATGAGAACCCTTTTTAGGTCTATAACTTTTTCTGTCTACAGAAAAATTAGCAAACTTGTTTTGGATGTTATGAGGATTCAGAATCTGTGTAACTACTTCAGTCACAGAGCCTCCCTTTCCCCCACCCCATAAAACCAGATTTTCTCTTTTGTTTTTAGAGATTTTACACCATATAACTTTTTATATCCTAAAAGCTGTACATTTTAATATATAGGTTTTTAATTTGGTTACATATTTTATTTATCTAACAGTTCTTCAGTATCTCAGTGATAATGTTTCAGATCATGGTTGGTCATGTAATTGGTAATGGTCTTATGAGCTAACTAGTACTGCAAAAGAGTAATATACAATACATTGGGGTTGATTTACTAAAGGCAGATAGACTTTTCACTTTGCAAAGTGCAGTTGCACTCTGCAAGTTCAATTGCTCCAGAGCTTAGCAAATGACCAAAAGCTCTGCTGACTTTTATCATCCAATCATATGCAAGCAAAAATACTCTTTTTTTATTTTCCTTGCATGTGATAGGGTATTCTTGGTAAAGGGAAACTTTGCTTCATTTACTAAGGTCTGGAGCAACTGCCCTTTTCAAAGTGCACAGTCTATTTTCCTTTAGTAAATCAACCCCATTGCATGCTACTTAAAGCGGCGTTCCACTCGACCTATCAAAAAATAAAAGTCAGCAGCTACAAAAACTGTAGCTGCTGACTTTAAAAAAACAGCCACTTACCTGTCCAAACAGCCACTTACCTGTCCCTCGGTCCCATGGTGTGTCCCCCGCAGCTCATTTCACTGGCCATCCTGTATTCCAGGAGGCCCTCATCTTCAGTGTGGGCACCCGGCTGTGATAGCTTGCGGCTTCACAGCCGGATACCCACTGCGCATGCATGAGTAGCACTGCTCTTCGTGAATGGTCCTGTAGTCTTCTGGGACCTGTCACGTGTCCCAAAAGACTACAGGGAGGGAGGACACCTTCCACACCTAGGCGATCGGGCCAGAAGTGGGAGCAGGTACCTGTCAAATTGGGTACCCGCTCCCCCCTCCCGCTCCCCAAAGGTGCCAATCCTAATGGGGAGCAGTCCTTAAAGTGGAACTTCCCCTTTTGGGTGGAGCTCCGCTTTAAATATTTCCAAATACATATTTTTGCAGTTATATGGTTTATATTTTTTTGTAGGTCTGCTTTAAATAAAGTTATTAATTCTTTTACATCCAGATTGCTGAAAATATATTTATTTTGATGTTTTGGTATGTTAAAACAATTCAGTTTTCGTTGTTGCAATGAACTTGTATATAAATATAGCTGTGTTAATGGAAGAGAAGTAATTCACTGTAAGAAAAGGTGACAGTATAAATAGGCCACCACATCCTTCCACTGAAGTATTCCCACCACATAAAATATTAATCTGTAGAGGAATCTATGGTAGAAATTCCATCTTGTCTAGTGTATGTATAATGTGGGAATAGCTGAATCACTAAGCAGAATGCAAAGGAGACATCTTCACATGCCGTAATTAGTCTTTCATCTTTATTGAGTTCTCATTTATTATACAATAATGCTCCTTCAGTGGTCAGATTTGTTTTGAGTGCACACCAAATTATAGTATGTATGAATCAATTGCATATTGAGTGATTTAATTATACTGATATAGTTGTTCCATCGGAGAAGGCATGTATTATACAACATAAAGTCTTTAAGGGAAATGAAGGTTAAAGTATATTGATAAAAGAGGATTGGCACCATTTGAGCATAAGCAATGTTACTTTACACGTAACCTTCATTTTGTACAACACTTAGCCACTTTTATTTAACCACTTCAAGACCAGACACTTTCACCCCCTTGCAGTCCAGGCCAATTTTCAGCTTTCAGCACTGTCACAATTTGAATTAAAATTACTATGGCATGCAACACTGCATGCAAATTACATTTTTATCATTTTTTGAGATAGACAGAGCTTTCTTTTAGTGATATTTATTTACCACTGGGTATTTTATTTATTGCTATATAAACTAACAGATACCGAACATTTTGAAAAAAAAAAAAAAACATTTTCTTAGTTTTTGTTATCACATTCTGCAAATAAATATACTTTCTTCATACATTTTGACCAGATGTATTCTGCTAACCTTTTTTGGTAAAAATAACCCAAAAAGTATATATTATTTAGTCTGTGTGAAAGTTATAGAGTACACAATTCATGGTATATATATTTGAAAATTGATCAGTCCTGATGTAATGACTACCTATATTATTTCTTGGGGCCCTAAAATGCCAGGACAATAAAAAAATACCCCCCAAATGCCCCTTTTTGGAAAGTAGACAGTCTGAGGTATTTTTGCCAACATATTTTGGAATATGATGAAAGCCAAAAAATCTTCTTTTTCACAAAGTTGTCATTTTAACAAGTTATTTCTCTCACACAGCGTAGGCATACTTACAGTTGCACCGCAAAACACATTCTCTAACTCCTCCTGAGTATGGGGATGACACGTGTAAAACTTTTTCACACGCTAGTCACATAGAAAGGCCATACGTCCAATAAGCACCTTTAGGCGTTCTAGGGGCAAAAATTACATATCTAATTTTTTATTACCTAACACATTTTTGGAGGTCTTGGAGCACCAGGACAGTGGAAACATCCAAAAAATGGCCACATTTTGGAAAGAAAACACCCCAAGGTATCTTCTAAGAGGCATGTGGGGTCTTCTGAAGGCTTCATTTTTTGCCACAAGTTTTTGAAAAATGGAAAGAAAATGAAAATGTTTTTTTTTTTATGCAAAGTTGTCGATTAGTAAGATATTTCTAATACACAGCATAGGCATACTTAAAATTACACCTCAAAACACATTCTGCTACTCCTACTGAGTATGGCTATACCACATGTGTGACAATTTTTTACAGCCTAGCCACATAGAGTGGCCCCAAATCCAATAAGCACCTTTAGGCACCTTTAGTAGTCCTAGGGGCAAAAATTACGCATCTCATTTCTTGACCGCCTATCACATTTTTGAAGGCCATGGAGCACCAGGACAGCGGAAACACTCATAAAGTGACCACATTTTAGAAAACAAACACCCCAAGGTATCTCATAAAAGGCACGGCGAGTCTTCTGAAGAGTTCATGTGTTTGCCACAAGTTTTTGGAAAATGAATGAAAATGCATTTTTTTAACGCAAAGTTGTCAATTAATGAGATATTTCTAATACACAGCATAGAAATCTTTAAATTACACCTCAAAATACATTCTGCTACTCCTCCTGAGTATGGTGATACCAGATGTATGATACTTTTTCACAGCCTAGCCACATAGAGGGGCCCCACCTCCAATAAGCATCTTTAGGCTCCCTATGGGCATAAATTACACATCTAATTTCTTGACTACCTACTGTTATGTGACTGCCCCCATAGCACTATGTTCACTGCCCAGAAAGTACAAGAGGTTGAACAAAGAGTAAACTAAAAAGTACCTGTGGTTTCAGTAGTGTAGTTGTCTGCAGAGGATAGGTGGCACTGGTGCTTCGCACGAACATAGCCTGCGGGATGTGCAGAAGGGTTAGTACTGGTGCCAAGCAGAGACATGGTCAAAGGATTGGTCCAGACAACCCTTGTATTGTCTTAAATCATACTACTACAGTGGCAGGGCAAAAGATCAGTCCAGGCGTCAGGCAAAAGTCATGGTCACTTAACAGGCCGAGGTCAGTTCAGATGGCAGGCAGAGGCATGGTTGGTTAACAGGCCGAGGTCAGTTCAGGAACAAGGCAAAAAACTTGGTGGATAAGCAGTTCAGGTGTCAGGCAGAGGCATGGTTGATTAACAGGCCGAGGTCAGTTCAGGAAGAAGGCAGAAACTTGGTGGCTAAATAGTTTAGGCAGCAAGCAGAGGCGTGGTCAATTAACAGGCCGAGGTAATTTCAGGAGGAAGGCAGAAACTTGGTGGATAAACAGTTCAGACGGCAGGCAGAGGCATAGTTGGGGAACAAGCTAGGGTCAGTTCAGTTGGAAAGCAGAGGTAGGCAAATGGGTCCAGGCATCAGGTAGAAACATGGCTGGGAAATGGCAGGTAGTACTAAGGGAAATATCATCACCATGACTACACCAATATTAAATTGAAGTGTGATATCGACGGAAGCACTCTCCTGTACAGAGGCCAGGCTGGTCAGGGCATTTGGGACAATAGTATCGGGTGTCACAGCAAATTCTGTTTTTGGAAGAAACACAACATCTTCTTTGGGGTTTGCAGACTGTTCGGATAGGGGGGGATAATATTTTGGAAAATGTCTTTCGTGTAGTCTACTCACTGCATCAGAGCAAATTTGTTGAGGTGCAGGTCTCTCCTGATAGATGAGGGATATGACAATCTCTTCCTGTTAGTGTAAGAAGGTGAGGGAATTCTAATAAACTACGTAAGAATTGTACAGGGCCAGGTGAAAAAGGTATATGGATACTTTTTTTTACCAGTGGATTGATCTTCTGGTGGCTAAGTATGGCTGTAACATCTGATCATTTAAATCCACTCCCTCATGAACTGGTTGTAATCATGTATCCACTGGGGTTTTTGGATGGGACCCTGCCTTGTTTGAATTTCCAATGAGCTGCTGTTGTGAATAGAGGAAAGGACATACACATCTCGTTTGTCTCACCACTTAAGAGCCAAGATTTCATCATTCCTAAGACTATCTGACTCCCACTTGTTCAGCCTGGTGGCAGCTAGTTGCGGGAAGCCCTTCCGAGTGGGTCGAACTGTACCGCAGGCTACAGTTTTGTTGAGGTAAAGGTGGCGGAAAAGGGGAAAGCTTGTTTACAAATTGTCCACGTAAAGGTGGTCACCCTTCTTGAAGAGGGGGAATACAAGGTCCCAGACAATTCTGCTGCTGGTCCCCATATAGGTTGGGCAGTCGGGGGTTCAGCTTGGTGTCCTTTCCTTCATAAACCTGGAAATAGTTTCACAGGATTTGTACATCTTTTCCCCATATCTGGCCCGTTTGCTTGGGATGTATTGTTTTATGTCCAGCCTCTCGGTGAAGTGGATTAGTGATTCATCCACATAGATGATTTTGGCAGGACAATATATTTCAGGAAATTTTTGGTTAAAAAAATTGACCAGTGACCCTAATTTTATTAGGGTGATTTCTTGGAGGGCACTGGGAATTATCTCTAAAGTGTAAAAAATCGCGTAATTATTTTATAGCATGTTCGGAACATAGTGGCAGAATAGATTGGCATGTGTTGTATGGGATTTGTGGACCAATAAGCGTGCAGTGAATTTTTTTTTTTGTTAGTCCCATATTTAGCGTGAGGCCAAGAAACTCTTGTATGGCCAAGGGTTTCCACTCAAAGGGATGGGCATAAACAGAGCTGGGATTTTGGGTAATATACTGCTGGGCATAAAGGTTGCATTGATCTACAACTGAATTAAAAAAAGCTGCTGTGAAAAATACATTTAAAAAATCAATGAGACCAAAATTTTGAGTTTCTACCTGAATGCCTGACTGGACTATAAATGGGGGATTATAGGTGCTCTTGAATCTGAAGGTAGCCACACAGAGTTTAAAAGTGCCTCTGGGACAGCCGTATGGGCCCTCATCCTTGATGGCTGATGTGGATTTGGTGGATGAACTGCACTACTAGTGCTAGCCATGTTACAGGGATTTATTGAGCTGCTGAATGTTGCTTGCTGCTCCTTGGAATGATTCATTCTTTTAGTTGGAGTCTGTTCTTCTTCTGAATCAAATTCTGAACCGCTGCCGTCTACAGGTTCATATTCTGAATCTGAGTCTGACAGTGAGAGTTCCCTGCTACTCTCATCTGTCATGCTCAGAATTTGGAACGCTTCCTCACTGGTGTGGGTTTTTTTTACATGGTGTTGACACTAGTGTGGTAGTGATTAGGACCCACTGGTATGGCGATGATCAGGACCTGCTGGTATGGTTCACACTGAGCACTGTTGACAGGGACACCGTGAGCTGGTTGGCAATGTTTTGTGTGTGTGTAAACTGTGTTCAGAGGCTGAAAATTACTCACAGTTAGCTGTAATCGCTCTCTGTCATCACAGAAGATAGTGGTGATCAGGTATGCAGTGATCAGGACCTGCTGGTATAGCGGCGATCTGGACCCACTGGTATGGCG